GAATGCCTCTTCTCCTCCAAGGGATCACAACTCCTTATCAGCAAGGGAACAAAAACTGGATGGAGAATGAGTTTGACGAATTGACAGAAACAGGCTTCAAAGGTGGGCAATAACAAACTTCTCCGAGCTAAAGGAGCAAGTTCTAACCCAATGGAAGGAAGCTAAGAACCTTGAAAAAAGGTTAGATGAAATGCTAACTAGAATAACCAGTGTAGAGAAGAACATAACGAGTTGATGGAGCTGAAAAACAAAGAACTTTATGAAGCATACACAAGTTTCAATAGCCAAATTGATCAAGTGGAAGAAAGGTTATCAGAGATTGAACATCAACTCAATAAAATAAAGTGAGAAGGCAAAATTAGAGAAAAAAGGGTGAAAAGTAATGAACAAAGCCTCCAAGAAATATGGGATTATGTGAAAAGACCAAATCTATATTTGATCAGTGTACCCGAAAGTGACAGGGAGAATGGAACCAAGTTGGAAAACGATCATCAGGATGTCATCCAGGAGAACTTCCCCAACCTAACAAGGCAGGCCATCATTCAAATCCAGGAAATACAGAGAACACCATAGAGATACTCCTTGAGAAGAGCAACCCCAACACACCTAACTGCCAGATTCACCAGGGTTGAAATGAAGTAAAAAAATTCTAAGGGCAGCCAGAAAGAAAGGTGGAGTTACCCAAAAAAGGAAGCCGATCAGACTAATGGCAGATCTCTATGCAGAAACCCTACGAGCCAGAAGAGAGTTGGGGCCAATATTCAACATCCTAAAAGAAAAGAATTTTCAACCCAGAATTTCATATCCAGCCAAACTAAGCTTCACAAGTGAAGGAGAAATAAAATCCTTTACAGATAAGCAAATGCTGAGAGCTTTTGTCACCACCAGGCCTGCCTTACAAGAGCTCCTGAAGGAAGCACTAAACATGGAAAGGAACAACCAGTACCAGCCGCTGTAAAAACATACCAAATTGTAAAGACCCAACGATACTATGAAGAAACCACATCAACTAATGGGCAAAACAATCAGCTAGCATCAAAATGGCAGTTTCAAATTCACATATAACAACATTAACCTTAAGTGTAAATGGACTAAATGCCCCAATTAAAAGACACAGACTGGCAAATTGGATAAAGAGTCAAGACCCATTGGTGAGCTGTATTCAGGAGACCCATGTCATGCACAAAGAAACCTATAAGCTAAAAATAAAGGGATGAAGGAAGAGTTACCAAGCAAATGGAAAGAAAAAGAAAATAGCAGGGTCACAATCCTAGTCTCTGATAAAACAGACTTTAAACCAACAAAGATCAAAAGAGACAAAGAAGGGCATTACCTAATGGTAAAGGGATCAATGCAACAAGAAGCACTAACTATACTAAATACATACACACCCAATACAGGAGCACCCAGATACATAAAGCAAGTTTTTAATGACCTACAAAGAGACTTAGACTCCCACACAGTAATAATGGGAGACTTTAATACCCCACTGTCAATATTAGACAGATCAATGAGACAGAAGATTAACAAGGATATCCAGGACTTGAACTGAGCTTTGCACCAAGCAGAACTAATAGACATCTACAGAACTCTCCACCCCAAATACACAGAATATACATTCTTCTCAGCACTGCATCACACTTATTCTAAAATTGATCACATAATTGGAAGTAAAACACTCCTCAGCAAACGCAAAAGAATGGAAATCATAATAAACAGTCTCTCAGACCACAGTGCAATCAAATTAGAACTCAGGATTAAGCAACTCACTCAAAACCAAACAACTACATGAAAACTGAACAACCTGCTCCTGAATGTCTACCAGATAAATAATGAAATGAAGACAGAAATAAAGATGTTCTTCAAAACCAATGAGAACAAAGATGCCCTCTCTCACTGCTCCTATTCAACATATTGTATTGGAAGTTCTGGTCAGGGCAATCAGGCAAGAGAAAGATATAAAGGGTATTCAAATAGGAAAAAGGGTGGTCAAATTGCTCTGTTTGCAGATGACATGACTGTATATTTACAAAGCCCCATAGTCTCAGCCCAAAATCTCTTTAAGCTGATAAGCAACTTTAGCAAAGTCTCAGGATACAAAATTAATGTGCTAAAATCACAAGCATTACTACACAACAAGAACAGACAAACAGAGAGCAAAATCACAAGTAAACTCTCATTTGCAATTGCTAAAAAAAAAAAATACCTAGGAATACAACTTACAAGGGATATGAAGGACCTCTTAAAGGAGAACTACAAACCACTGCTCCACGAAATAAGAGAGGACACAAACAAATGAAAAAACATTCCATATTCATCGATAGGAATAATCAATATGGTGAAAATGGCCACACTGCCCAAAGTAATCTACAGATTCAGTGTTATCCCCATCAAGCTACCATTGACTTTCTTCACAGAATTAGAAAAAACTACTTTAAAATATCATATGGACCTCAAAAAAGAGCCCACATAGCCAAGACAATCCTAAGCAACAAGAACAAACCTGGAGGTGTCACACTACCTGACTTCAAACTATACTGCAAGGCTACAGTAACCAAAACAGCATGATACTGGTACCAAAACAGAGATAAAGACCAATAGAACAGAACAGAGGCCTCAGAAATAAACCACACATCTACAACCATCTGATTCTTGACAAGCCTGGCAAAAAAAAAGCAATGGGAAAAGATTTGCTATTTAATAAATGGTGTTGAGAATACTGGCTAGCCATATGCAGAAAACTGAAATTGGACTCCTTCCTTATACCTTATACAAAAACGAACTTGAGATGGATTAAAGACTTAAATGTAAGACCTAAAACCATAAAAAACCCTAGAAGAACACCTAGGCAATACCATTCAGGACATAGGCATGGGCAAAGATTTCATGACCAAAACACCAACAGCAATGGCAACAAAAGCCCAAATAGACAAATGGGATCTAATTAAACTAAAGAGCTTCTGCACAGCAAGAGAACTAACATCAGAGTGAACAAGCAATCTACAGAATGGGAAAAAATTTTCACAATCTATCCATCTGACAGCAGGCTAATATCCAGATTCTACAAGGAACTTAAACAAATTTACAAGAAAAAAAGCCAAACAACCCCATCAAAAAGTAGGCGAAGAATATGTACAGACAATTCTCAGAAGAAGATATTTATGTGTCCAAGAAACATATGAACAAATGCTCATCATCACTGGTCATTAGAGAAACGCAAATCAAAACCACATTGAGATACCATCTCATACCAGTTAGAATGGTGATCATTAAAAAGTCAGGAAGCAACAGATTCTGAGAAAATGTGGAAGAAACAGGTATGCTTTTACACTGTTGGTGGGAGTGTAAATCAGTTCAACCATTGTGGAAGACAGTGTGGCAAGTCATCAAGGATCTAGAACTAGAAATACTCATAAAAAGGATGAGTTCATGTCTTTTGCAGGGACATGAATAAAGCTGGAAGCCATCATTCTCAGCAAACTAACACAGGAACAGAAAACCAAACACCACGTGTTCTCACTCATAAGTGGGTGTTGAACAATGAGAACACATGGACACAGGGAGGGGAACATCACACACCAGAGCCTGTCAGGGGCTGGGGGGCTAGGGAAGTGATAGCAGGGGGTGGGGGAAGAGGGGAGGGATAGCATTAGGAGAAACACCTAATGTAGATGATGGGGTGATGGATGCAGCAAACCCCCATGGCACATGTATACCTATGTGACAAACCTGCATGTTTTGCCTATGTACCTCAGAACTTAAATAATAATAAAAAGAAAAGAAAAAACTGCAGAGTCGCAAGTTCCTATTGGGTCATCCAGGCCACTCCCACCGTTTAATGTTTAATCCCCCCACTTTGATCTTCCCTTCCAGTGCTGATGATACCTCAAACCGCGTCTCTCATCTGTATCTCCTGCCTGTGCTGCAGTATCTGAATGTATTTTGGCTACTTCAACTCGGATATCATATAAATACCTCAAATGCAACGTGTCCCCATATAATTGTCACGTTCTAGTGCCACGACTCCAGGTGTTCTCCTTGCATTCTCTCAGTGGATAGCAATACTGTCTGCCTAACTGCTAAAGCCGGAAGCCTGGGGGCATCCTTAACTCTGCCCTTCCTCATAGCCCTGTATCAGATCATCTACTATGTTTCACTCATTCTGCCTCCACCAATGTGAAACCTACAAGCTGTCACCTTTTCTAGGCAAGCTCCTTGCATCTTCTTTATTGCGAAAATAACACCGCAACTGTTCCATGACCAGCCAACTTGATTTTACAAGGAAAATCCTGCTCTTTTTCTACAAGGTGTAACCCAACTAACCTTTCTTCCTTGGCTAAGAGTTGAGCTTACTTGGAAGAGCAGAATTCATTAAAAATGAAATTCTCACATTAGAAATGAATTTGGACATTTGCATGAAGTCTAGGATCATGGGACCCAGGATTGAAAAGAAGAGGGCCCTAAGGATGGATCTGGTAGCCACCTGTTTGTGCTGAAAGGAAAAGGGGGATGAGAGAGCAAGTAGAGAGATGGCTCTAGGGGTCGGACTTTTTAGGTCCTCTGTTGAAGAGTTCCCAGTCGCAGGCTTCTCTCAGAGCCCACATGAAGATGGAGAGTAAAGTAAAAGCCCCAGCAACAATGAAGACCAGCTGGGAACACAGGCATTAGTCCCAGTGTCCAAAATACCTCAGCAGGTTCTCTTCCAATGTCAAAGCAATTATCCTAAAGGAAAGGGGATGAAGAACCAAGCACCTGTTTTTAATAATAAAAATAAAACCTTATTTGGAAACTTCCTGTTCCTTTATAAAGTATGTCAAACGTCTACAGATTCCATCATTTTGGCAACCTCAAAGAAAAGCTGTGAAACCTGACATGAGAATTAGGCTACGCCTACGGTAATTTTTAAGCTTCTCAAAACTCTAGGAAATTAAATTCCCTACCTAGTACTACTAAAAGAGAGAACATATATTTATTAAACAAAACAAAAATGGATTGCAATGTTCAGGGTGAAAACTGATTATTTTATTTAACAATAAAACTTATGTATAAGAACATTTCAGTGAAATATAAAACAAACCTTTTTTTCCCCCTTACTTTCAACAGTCCTTTCTAATACCCACAGGGAGGAAGAGATGAAAAACAAAAGACCTGCTAGTCTGTAACTAAAGGTCCTGAAAGAAATATTTACCTATTAGCCATTGTTTCACTCAAGGGATTGTGAAAGGCAAAAACACACATCAATTTATTCATAGTAGTCAAGTGAGGAGGTAAACCCCTCTTGCAGCATCTCTCTGGGTATCTTAGTTTGGATGGTAAGTGAAGAAGGAAACTCTCTAAAATGTCAAATAAGGAAAACACACCACCTAGAAATGAGTGACAGTAATTCACGGGGACACTAAAAATAAGAGTCAAGTTGTGGTATCTGCACTCAGTGACATGAGGTATCAACACACCTTCCCAATCTTATCACTTTATCACATCTACATGGATCTTCTTTAGAGCATGCTTTTTTTCATAAATTGTGGAATGTTTTTTGAGAAGAGAGAGTGTAGGTCACTGAGGTCATTTGTTCTTGTAGCTCTCTGGCTGGCAGGGATCCAAGCGTGTATGAAGATGAGTGACAGCGTGCGACCAGCTTTTCACTGCTGGCTTTTCTATCTGCGGAAGCTTTGAGTGCATTGATCAGAAGCCAGACCATGCTAACTCTTTTGTTATTAGGTCTTTGGGTGGAGCTTTCAAAATCATTCTTTGTTCCACTTTTCCTAGATGGTTAAACTGCGCCCAGTAGGTGGTTGAAAGTGTGAATTTCAAACAAGTGCTTTTAATATGCCCAAAACTGTTGCTGCAAAGAAGGGGGAAAACCCACATTAATTGAATCCTCGCCCATTCTTACTCATAATGTCACAATTGTATTTTCTATATCCCAAAGCAATCTGAAATGATTTGCAAAACTATGTGAAACCCTCAGGTGAATAAGATTACAAGTTTTCCAATACGTATTTGTATTAAAAATAATTATTTTCTCACAACAATTCTCCAACAGAACCCACACAAAGTAGAGGTCAACAATTAAAAAATAATAATATTGTAATCTTTTCTTTCATTGACCCTCGTCTTCCCACTGGATACTAATGATCATCAGCAAAATTACGATATCTGTAGACACTGCATATTTTAACATTTCTTTGCAATTCTCTTTAGAATATTTATCTTGCAAATATCTTTTGGAAGGTCACTATTGTTCCCATTTTATAGATGTCATATGGAGGTTATAACAATAACTACCTTCAAAGGATCACCTCCGGGACCCTCATTAGATCATGTACAGTAAGTACATAGAGTAATTGGCACTATTAGCTATTGAGTGCTCAAAACATGTTAGCTTTGTTAATATGCAAAAGCATTAGCAGCTATATTAAAGTTAACAGAAGTCCATTTTGCGTAGGCCAATCTGGTTTGAGTCTTCCTCTAGCACTGGACAGTTCTTCCAAACAATACAGGTATGACTGTTTCATATGCTAGTCCATCTGACAAGATGCTCTTGCCTCCTCTCTCCTGCATCCTCACCCCTCTACCTGGCTAATTCTTAGTGGCTAGATATTAGCATGGATGGTATTTCTCCAGGGGCGAGCAGTCGCTAACCTCATCCACGTCTAGCTGATATGTATGTGGGGCACTCCTCCTACCCGCTTCAACCATATTGTAATTCCTGCTTCTTTGTCTGCAGCCCGTTAACACCAAAGCTGCATGAGGGCAAGGGTCGTGTCTACCTTAGTATACTACATTCTTAGCACAATGGCAAGCTCAATGGCAGAACATAATGGGTGCTCTGTAAATATCTGCTGTAGGAGGACGTGTGGTATCTGAAAACAGCCAGGATACTGACTGAAAGAGCACTTTCTGAGGCAGTGTGAGTGATGCTGCCCACCTAAGAGATAAGCAGCGGCTGGCTATGGGGCCAGATGAGGATGAGGGTGGTAAAATGGGATGTGCCGCTGCAGAAGCTCTGGGTAGAAGTGGGGTGGGGGGCGAGGGGGACAGAGGACAGAGGGGTAGGGAATCAGTGCTAGGGGAGATCAGGTTCCACCTGGTCACGGTCAGACTAGCACAGTCCCATCCAGCTTCACTGGTTCTGGATGTTGAGACACCAGCCCTGCAGCATGGGGAGGGAGAGCCTGGGTTGACTGCCCCTCCTTTTCACCCATCAGGGTAGAGAGACTCAGAATCAAGCTCTTAGGTACCAGCCTTCCAACCAGAGTAGCAACAACAAAATGCAGGTCAGGGGTTTCTGCTGGCTGGAGTGAAAAGGTCCAATCTGATGCATGGACCCCTGAAAACTTACCAGACAGGTGGGATGTGTAGTGCACGTCTGGCCCAACCCAGAAGTGCAGTGCTGAGGGAGAAGATTTGAGACCGGGGGCACGGCTGAAGGTAAATGAATCGAAATGTTCTGATTTGTTACGGCAGTTTCGTCATAGGAAGGGGTGACGTTAGAATAATATCTGACAGTATGGAAGGAATTCAGAGAGGGCGCTGCATTGGGAATCTGAGTTTTATACTGATCACCAATAGCATTCTCTGAGGTGGAGCTTAACGGACCTTTAATGAGAAAGAAAACAAATATGGGTGAGTATCCATAAATCTGTAATTTGGAACGACCGTATTTGGCATAAACTGACTGCTATTTCATTTCCTCGCATTATAAATTTGTACTACCACTACACTCGAATGCTGATGGAAAATCAAAAGGAACTTTCTAATTGTGACATTTAGTGCAATATACACACTATAAATTAGGGTTCGTGTACCACTAAAAGACAGATTTTAGAGAAGCAGAAGATCCCTGTGCCTTTTGATGCATGTGAACGTGCATGTCAATCAAAATTGACTCTCTCTGAAGCAAGTAAAAAGGTTGGAAAGAACAATTCCATTCAGCAGACTGTTTATATCATTATATAGCTATATTCTACATGGTAACTAGAAGAAAAAAATTAATATATAATATGAACAATGTAACCTCAAATAATACCATGAATATTTATTTTCTACTGGATATTAGTAATATCGAAAGTAAAATAATGTAATAATATGTCTACTTTAAACATAGATGTACCTGAAATGTTTGTGAAAAAATAATTTAAGCAAATGTATACAGAGATTTATAAAAAATAACAGGAAAACGCAAGCCGCTAAGGTGATAACATGCCTGCGTTACAGAGCAGGCTCAGCACAGAAACCCTGGGACTTTGGGTGGTCATTTAACTTCTCTAGCATTTTCTAATGTGGGTGATGAAAGTGAAATTTGGAAGACTTAACTGATTGCAACTTCTCTGATCCTCTTTCCAAAACAATTTGGCAACATGCATTAAGAGCTATACATACATTCATGTTCTCTGTTCTCTAACTCACCCGTCACTCTTCCAGGAATCCAGTTCAAGGAAAAGTCCAAAATATAGAAAACCCCATTTATGGAAAAATATTTCCTATCACATGATGTAAAAAATCACTCTCCCCTCAAACTGGAAATGCTAAATGTAGCGATTGGAAAATGGCTAAGAAAAGTACTCTATACACTTGATAAATAATTAAAACCATTAAAATGATGAGTGAAGCGTCACAACAAATATATGTATGACACAAAGTCAAGCAAAAAAATTCAGGAAACAAAATGGGATGTCCAATGAGTACTATTATAGAAAAATACACCTGGAAGAAGGCTTGAAGAAAATACATTAAAAAATGAACACAGTGATTATCTTAGCCAGGTTAGTAAAGGATCTGAACTGGTTTTCGAATGCAAAAATGTATTTAAATCAAATAAAAATGGAAGTTTTGCCTCCTTAACCTTCAAGGCCTCCTAGGGTTTGAATAAGCCACAGGTCTGTGGTCCTTGCATATCTCTGGCCTCCCAAGATCTGTCTCCTTAGGGAAGGCAGTGCCTTGAAATGCTGGGGCATAGACAGGCCTGAACTCACTGCCACAAAAGGAGTGTTTCAGAGTTTCTATAAGACATAAATAGTATTGTATGTACAAAAAGTAACATTGACAGGCATATGCCTGTGGCCTGACTTCTATCTGATTTAATCTGGGCTGATTTAATCATTCCATGTCACATTCAGCCATTGCTACTTTAAGTAGATTAACCATGGCTTATGGTGACTTTTTTTTCCTCTTCTCCTCTCTCCTCTAGGTCAGGAGAGAAGTCTAAGTTGACTCAAATAACACCCCGAGGATTCTTTGATGATATGAAGAATCCGGGCTGGGTTCTATCTGGGGGCTCCTTCTCTTTTGACTTTAGACAGCATCCCAAATAACCTCCATTTGTTCCCATGGCTTCCGCCACATCCCATCTATGCAGGGTACTTCTACTACAGCACTTACACGACTAAACCATATTTTGCTTTGGTGACCCTTTCTATCAGTAAGTTGTGAGCTCCATAAGAACAAGAACTGCCTTTCATTCATCTCTGTGTCCCCAACTTTGACGCAGGGACATTTAAGCTGAGAACTAGGGATGGACCTGGTGCTAACCAGGGCAGGTGAGGGAGAAAGGGCACTCCTGGCACAGGGGAGGTGCTGAGTGAGAGCAGAGCCTGTTGGAGGAAGTCAAAAGTGTCACCTAGGGCCAAGAGGCTGAGGAGAGAGGCAGTCCTGTCATCTAGCACCTATCATTCAGGTCAAGAGGTCCATATCTTCCTGGTTTCTCAATGGAGAGTAACTTTACCTTCAGGAATACTAAAAAGTCACAACCTGTGTTGTGTTCTTTTCCTCTATTTTTTTTTCCATCTTGTTATTTCAAGTACATGGGCATGTCTAGGCTTATATAACACATATGTGGAGGCATTTTTGTTACGTGAGGCATTTTTTGTTATGCAGAGGCATTTTTATTATATGTGTTACATAAACCTAGACATGCCCATGTACTTGAAATAACAAGATGGAAAAACATAGAGGAAAACAAAAGGGAAAGCATTTGTTCCACAATGAATATTCATATAATGAAATTTCTTGAGCTCCTACTGTGTGCTGGTCATTGTTCTAAGTTGTAGAAATACAGCAGTGAATAAAAGCAGACAAAAAAGTCCCCTGCCTTCATGGAGGTGACATTCTAATGAGAGAAAATAGGCAACAAGCAAAACACACAAGTAAAGAACAGCAGAAGGCAGTGAGTGCTACCAAGACAAATACAGCAGGGAAAGCGGATGAGGAGTCCCCTGAGTCATGTTTATGGTGGGTAGGAATGTGCAGTTTTACCCGGGTGGCTGAGAAGAGCTCATTGAGAGGTGACAAGGAAGCAAAGGCATGAAGGAGGTAAATAAATTAACATGTTAAATGCTCAGGGCACAGTCAGTCCTGAAATAATATGAATACTTCCCCTCCCCTGAGATTCTATTCATATTATAAACAAAGTCACCAGCGTGCTTATCATTCATCAACAAGATGAGCTTTCTGGTAATTACGGTCAATTTTGAGCCCAGTTTCTGGCATAACACTATTTAAACACCCATTGCCACCTTGTGTACCTGAGGCTGACAACACCAGAAGGATTTATCAGCTCCCCTGAATTCCCTGGTTATGGTGGTGAATGCACAGGAGCCCAAGGGTTTGTAAGGTAATGCAGGTCCCCCTGTAAGTGGCACAGATGTTAGGTAAAGCTCACCTCTCACAGCTTCATCCAAAGAGCCCACTGCACCAGGAGTGGAGCACACATTCCAGCACGTGTTAGGCAGGAACTGGAGCCCTCTCTCAGGAGAGTAAGTGCTCGGCACACTATTTTCCCTTGAAAGGACAGAAAAAATTCTTTGCATATTATTCAGGGAAAACAACATGAACATTGCTGAATTCAACTGCCCTTTTATCATTCAAGTTCTAAAAACACTGACAAAGCCTCAACTATGGATTATTTACATATGAACAAAGAGTTGCACAGGACCCATGATGATTCCTTAGAATGTGCAAGAATGATATGCTTTTTTCTCCACAGTTTCTCTTTGTTTACATAGTCTGATCAATCTACGAAAGGATCATCCGGGAAGCCACATTTTGCCCTAGTAAGCTGCTCGAAGAACCACTAATTGAAATAGGGCTGGATGGCTCCAGGGCCCGAGACCTCCAGAGGAACACCAGAAGCCATCGCATCCCTGCTGGACCGCCGCCATCCCTACACTCACAAGGGGCAAAGATCATTTTAAGAACCTCAGAAATAACAAAAGGAGAAGTGAGTGTGAGTCATGTGATGAAAGGTCCATGGACCTGAGACTTTTTCCTGTGCTTATCACTGTAACAAAATGATACACATTGGCAATGAGAAAAATTCAGACCCTTAATAAACCCCTGCGCTTTCACAGTGGATGGAATCAGTTTCTACATGTTTAGCATCAATGTGGGAGGAAAATAACTAGCAGACTTCACATTCACAAGAGCCCTTATCATACCACTGTGCCATGACAGTGCCTAGGAGAGACAGCTGGAGAGGTGTTTGTTGTTTCTTACAAAATCTGTTGTTGCTTTGAAGTGCTTCTGTAATCTGAAATATACAGAAATATATTTAGGTAGATACTGACATTTTTACATATGTACAAAGACACATACTTTCAATGATAAAAAATTAAAAGAAGTAAAATTGTAGTGTTAAAGCATTGTCTATAATGATAAAATTCAAAGCTTTGGAAGTCCAATACCTGGGCCATAACGGCTGGGGGAATTTTCGCCCGGATATATTTCACATACTCAACTGTTGCCTCAAGAACTGAAGCTGTATCATTCTTTCTCCCCTTTACATATGGCAAGAGAACACGCAGCTGCTCACAGCAATACTTGATTCTTTCTCTGGACAGAGAATTGCAATACATAAAGAATAATTAGTCTCATTTTCTTCCTTGTACCCAAAGACAAACAACCCTTCCTCTGAGTATGTTTGTAAAGGAACCACCCCCTCCCTATCTAATCTCCATTTCAGAAAAAGGCTATGTTCCTACAAGCCAGCAGCCCTCACAGTCCCTGAAATCACAGCTTCCCGGGGCGCCTACGCATATGCCCACTGCCCAAAGAACCACTACCCAAGTTCACTGTGTGTGCTGATGGCAGCCCCAGCTCTCCCACCTCAGGCCTGCTGCAGGGTGCAGGATGCCCAGTCACTGAGGAAAGCACCCTTCCTACCCACTGCTGCCCACAGAAACGTGCAGACCACTCTGCCCAGAGGGCAGAGACTTGTACACTGTAGAAATCCTTTTGCGATTCACACTAGAAGCCTAGAAGGCAAAGAGCAGTCAGGATCTCCATGTCCCTGGACAGCATTTCCAACAAGATCAACTAGCATCTTGCAACACACGGCTTCATGGACTGAGCAAAAGGAAAATCAGAAGACTGCTTCCTTTACATGAGGTAGGTATGGACAGAACCAGTAGACCAGGATGCAGGTATCAGAAAGAAACTAACCTGTCTCTCACAGCTCCTAAGGAGAATAGACGGGAAATGTAAATGTAATTGATTTAAGCCCTTGGTGGCTTCATTCAACCATGTGCTCTTTTAATAAACATTTTTAAGCACTTGTTTTGTGCTGAATACTACCTTGACATCTACAGGGTTGAATGGTGGCTATGTTATTATTGAGACATTAGGCAAGTTACTAAACCTCTGTAAACACCAGAATGGCAGAGAAATTAAATTTTAAAACCTAGTTTGACATACAGCCAAAGAATAACTCAAATATTCTGTCTCAGTGGTGTTCTCATTGATCTCTGAGGAGCTTTGGGGGCTCTGCAGGGGTGTCTCAGGAACTAATCTGGAAAGGGAAGGATGGAAGAGCCAACAATTTGACAATGTGTGTGAAGGGCTTTGAAACTTTTCATACCCTTTGACTTGGTATTTCCACTTATAAGGATCCATCCTAAGGAGTGAATCTAAAACACAGAGCACAGTGCGTATACACAGAAGCCCATCAGAGCATTATTTTAGTAAAATATGGAAAACAGCACACAACATAGGAGGATGCATTAAGTAAGCTACAGTACATTAGTTCAGCAGAATGTCACCTGGCAGTGGAAGTGATATGTTATAAAGCTTATTGGGGGAAAGTAGGACACAAAACAGAATATAAAATATAATCCTAGCCACTAAACAAAGTAAAAATGAAGCCCAGGAGAAAAGGCTGAAGGCAAAAACATCCAGTACAGTTATTTCCGGATAGCTGGATGATGGATCATTTTTATTCCCTTTATTTTCTATGTTTTCCATATGTTTTTGCTAGGCATATGTCACATTCATAATTTAAACTATTAAAATATTATTAAATTTTTTCAACATTAGAAAAAGTTTAATCATAGAGAAAATTTGAAAGAATTATATAAGGAACACCTATATACTCATCACTTAAGAGGCTACAGTTAACATTTACTGTACAGGCCGAGTATTTCCTCCCCAAAATGCCTGGGGAAGTGTTTAAGATTTCAGATTTTTTGGGATTTTGGAATATTTGCATATACATAATAAGATATCTTGGGGATGGAACCCAAGTTTAACAGAGAATTCATTTATGTTTTATACCCTATTTACATAGCCTAAGGTAATTTTATACAGTATTTGTACCTCAAACAAAGTTTGTATACACTGAACCATCAAAAAGAAAAGGTGTCGCTATCACGTCAGTGCTGAAAAAGTTTGATTTTGGAACATTTCAGACTTCAGATTTTCAGATTAGGGATGCTCAACCAGTATCTGCTTTATCATATATGTGTCATCCCGCTGTTCACATGTCAACATATTTACATATACTAAAGCAAGGTAAGTTGTAGACATAAGCACATTACACCCCTAAATGTATCAGTAGCTAGAGCTCAAATTATTTTCAGGTAAATACTACATAAAACAAAATGCACACTAAGTCCTATTCTGTACGTTTGGACAAATACATACAAGTGTATGTACCTGAAACACATATATAATGAAAATTCTAATTACACAGGAAAATCCATTATCACAACCCCATAAAGTCCCTTATGTTTCTTCCCAGTCAATACTGTCCCCTAACCATGTAAGGCAACTACAATTCTGATATTTTTTCCATCCCACATTACTTTTGCCTGTCCTCAACCAGCACGTAAATAAAATCACACAGCGTGTATTATTTTGTAAAGCTTCTTTCACGCAGCTTTAAAGTTGCTGGGGTTTATCTACGTGGCTAACCATGTCGCAGTTTGCTCCTCTTCACCGAGCAACAGTATTCCATAACAGATAAGTAAGCTGCGGCATATTTATATATTGTGAAATACTGTTGTGGAATACATATAAATATGCCGCAGCTTACTTATCTGTTATCTTATTAACACTTGGGCTGTTACCAGTTTTGGCTTATTACGAATAAGGCCGTAGAACATTCTGGATATCTTTTTGTGAACGCATGGTTTTATTTCTCTTGGGTAATATCTAGGAATAGAAATGATAGGCCATTTTATAAGTTTATAAAAACGGGCAGAATTTTTACCACACCAAAGTAGTACCACTTCATACTTCCACCATCAATGTATCAGACTTCTTGCTCCAAATCATTGATGATATTTAATACTGTCAGTTTTAATGTTAGAATTTTGGCCTTTCTGGGGTATACATAGTAATATCTCATTACGCTTTAATTTGCGTTTCCCTGACAGCTAATGATACTGAGCACTTTTTCCTGTGCCTTTTGGGCTTGTATAGCTTCCTTTGTGAAGTGTCCGTGCAGACATTTTACCTGTATTTTAACCGAATTTCAGGTCTTTTTATTTTTCATTTTTAGCAGTTCTTTACACATCTTGAATACCAGGATTTGTCAGATATCTGTTTGGCAAGTATTTTCTCCCAGTCTGCGGCTTTTGTATTTATTTTCTTAAAACTTTTTGATAGCAAAAGTTTTAAATTTTGATGAATCCAATTTATTTACACACACACACTCTCTCTCTCTCTCTCTAATGGTTATTGATTTCTATGTCCTGTCTAAAGAACATCTGCGTATTCTCGGCTCATGAAGACATTCTCCTATTTTCTTGTAGAACTGTATTGTTCAATACAGTAGTCAGTAGACTTGAGTCTATTTAAATTTAATTAGTAAATATAAATTAATATTACATATATTTACAATTCATTTCCTAAGTTGCAATAGCCACATTTTGAATACTCAATAACTACACGGTTGCTAATGGCTATTGTATTAGATGATGAAGATATAATTTTTAACACAGCAGAAGAGTCTACTGAATGCTGTCTTCCTAGAAGCTCAATAATTTTAGCTTTACAGTGCAGCTCTGACTATGCTTCATCTTGAATTAATTTTTTATATGGTGTGAGGTAAAGGGTAAAGGTTGATTTTCTTCCCAGATGGGTATCTAGTTGTTCTAGCATCATTTATTGAAAAGACTTTTCTCTCCCAAAATATTTGCTTTAGTGTTTTTGTTGAAAATCAAATAACTATAAATATGTGGATCCAGTGCTAGCCTATTGTGTTCCATTGATCTATTTGTCAACTTTTATGCCAGTTACCTACTGGTGATTGTAGCTTTCTAGTGAGTCTTGAAGTCAGACAGTTTAAGTCCTTTTATTTCATCGTACTTTTACAAAATTGCTTTGGATAGTCTAAGTCCTTTTCATACATTGTAAAATCATCTTATCAATTTTTATGAAAAAACACTTGCTGGCATTATGATTTGGATTCAAATAAGGTTATGTTTCAATTTGGTGAGAACTGACATCTTAACAATAGTGAGTCTTTTATACCATAATTATGGTATAAAGCATAATTTGGTTTTTATTTAACTTTTCATAGTAACATTTTAAAATGATCAATGTACAGATCAGTTTTTTGCTTTGTTACTAAGGCTATTTCACTCTACTTTAAATGTTGTAATATTTATATTTTCATTGTATAATTATTTGCTGTTAGTATATAAAATACCATTGATTTTTGTACCTTATCTTCTGCAACCATGTTACAGAAGATAAGGTTCTTTAGTTCTAGCGGCTGTTTCGTAAATGTCTTAGGACTTTGGCTTTATACCCAGTCATGCCATCTCCATATAGTAAGACAGTTTTTCTTCTTCCTTTCTAATCTTTATATCTATTTCTTTATCTTGCCTAACTGCAATGGCTAGAATTATTTATTTGATAATGAACAGAAATGGTAAGAATGGGCACCCTTAGTTTGTTCCTGATCTTTTTAAGGAGCAGCCAACATTTTATCACTAACTACAATGTTAATTTTAAGTTTTTTATTGATGCCTTTTAACAAACTGAGGAAGTTATCTTCCACATCTATTTGCTGAAAGTATTTTTGAAATGATAATGGTAAAGTGAACGTTGTGAAATGTTTTCAGAATTTGTTAATCACATGGTTTTTCTCCTTTGTTCTGTTAATGTGGTGAATTTCACTGATTGATGTTTTGGTTTTGTTTTGTTTTTGAGTCAGAGTCTCACTCTGTCACCCAGGCTGGAGTGCAGTGGTACCATCTCTGTTTACTGCAACCTCTGCCTACTGGGTTCAAGCAATTTTCATGCCTCAGCCTCATGAGTAGCTGAGATTACAAGGTGCACCACCAAACCTAGCTAAATTTTTATATTCTTAGTAGAGACAAGGTTTTGCCATATTGGCCTGGCTAGTCTTGAACTCCTGGCCTCAAGTGACCCATCTGCCTTGGCCTCCCAAAGTGCTGGGATTACAGGTATGAATCACCATGCCCGGCGCCACTGGTTGATTTATGAATGTCACACCAGCCTTGCTTTTCTAGGATAAACCTGACATGGTCTATCATGATACCTTATACATTATACCTCTATATATTTCTTGATTAAATTTGCTAAAA